TAGGGGCAATTTTCTTATATAAGAAGCGGTAATTTTGGGGTACTTGAAAAAGCCTGTGGCTCTGAGGCTGGCTTTATCATGGGAAATGCTTGAGCTACATAAATTTTGCTATGTTCGCCGACACCGTGGTTCCATCTCGATGTCATCGTACTTGAATTCGATAGCTACACGATGGCATTCCGAGGGCTTCACATGTTGCCTTCTGAAAACAATCGGGCAGCTTCAAGTTTCCTTCGTATTGTCTACGTTAGGCGATAAATAACCGGTGGAACCGATGATCACACGAAGTAAAGACGAAGATGACACGATTTGACAAGATACCCTCACGATGGCCTTATGAAGGGCAACACGGACACACGAATTCAACACGAAAATGACCCTTCGCAAGGTCTTGTCTTGTGTGGTCCGATGTCTTTACGAATTTTAACATTTCCTTCATCGTGTGTCCATCTTATGTAAACAAATCAGCTCGAGGAAACCCTCGAAAAAAATAGGCTCTCCCAAAGCCGCCAGTGCTCCTAACAACTCGAAGCTGGTCAGGAAGTTGATACCACAAGACAAGCACAGCCGTTGAAAAAGCACGAAAGCCATACGTTTCGGGTGATGTGGTCGATAACTCTATGCAGAAAAGTTTTCGTTGAATGTTTCGGTAGGAAAGCATGTTGTTCAATATTGATGAGATTGTGTTTAAGAAGATAACGTAGCAGTTGTTCCTGAATTTCTTTTTCTATTATTTAAGGGATATGCCTTCAATACAACAGAGATGGGAAGGTTGTTTGTTTCTTCATTCCTTGAACCTTTTCCCTTTTAAATTGGAGTTGTCCCAGCCAATTTCCAGTCTTCTGGTACATCTCCACATTGTATGCCTGAATTAAATATATCTATACAGTGCAACCCAGAAAAAAACCGAAACCGAGAATTATCGATGTTTGATCATAACTTAATCACGATTATAATTAATAAATGACACATATTTGTAGAGCTCAGATTCTCTTCTTTCATTTGATGCAACTTATATGATGCATAGTTCACGCATGAGTGATAAAAAGCAATTTGAAGGAAAGAAGCAAAAAAGTCATTTGGCGGGCGGTATCTGAATTTCGAAGGAAAATTTACATTTCTAGAAAGTTTAGTTTCCGTACTTTCATATGACACCTCAATCAGGAAAAATGATCCAGGAATAACAAAGTTCTGTTAATTTAAAGTGATGCTTGCATTTCTATACTTTGATTAAATGAATTCGTTTTCACTGGCTGCCTGCCGTAGCAACAAACGGAATTGACAAAAGACTTAACTCCGTTTCGTTGACGATCAGACGAAAGACTTCATGCATGGCTGATTGTCAATGAAACGGAGTTAAGTCTTTTGTCAATACTGCTTGTTGCTACGGCATGCAGTCAGTGAACTTTGTATTATCTTTAACATATTCACAATGATCATCATGAGATTTCATTGAGTACGCTTTACTCTTCAAATAATCTTGTTTGTAAATGAGCTTAATAATTAAGTAATCCAAGAGCAATATCGATCTTTACCCGTACTTCTTTAAAAGGTACATAATCATCACTTATTTTCAAGAAAGTTTCTTTCCAGGATGTCCATGCCAAAGTAAAAGGCTAAGAATTTTCATTAAACAATTTTAAAATATTATTGGTTTGAATAGCTTCAAGGAATCGGGCTTCATCGAAATCCTTGAAAGCCCAAAACCATCTCACTTGATGAATTGTTTGTGTATTCTTTAAATCAATGACAGTATGGACAGTATAGTGATCACTTAATGCTATTATTTAGTACGTCATTTAAAATATGTTTTTCAGGTATTGTGCTCAAAATGTGATGAATACAGGTTGCTGATATCGTAGTAAATTTCGTGGGCTTCGTGACCTGTTGGGTTAGTGGAAATATAATATCTAAGCTATGAATAGGGTAATATCATGAAGAGTTTCATTAATTGGTAAATCAATAATGATAAATCTAAATCGATTTTAGCAAGTTTGTAATCGACATTGACAACATCGAAATTCCCGAGCATAAGTAATTCCATATTTGTGTCATTTGCCTTCTCAACATTTTCTGTGATCTTCTCAAAATACTCAACATTTGAATCAGGAGGTCTATAAATACAACAAACAAGTAACTTAGCTAGTTTTAGCCCTTAATTTTCAAGCCATAATAATTCTAGGGAATTGTCATAAAGATCATTTCTCTGAATGCATGATAAAGTGCTTTTTACATACTGTATAGATACAAACACCACCATCTCGGCGACCATCATTTCTATCTCGCCGATAGAGGGAGTACCCATTTATTTTCAAAACTTCACTCGCACAAGAATGATTAAACCGGTTCTCAGATAGACATAATAAATCAAAGATCATAGTTTTCAACAAATAAAGAATTTCATCGCACATTGAGATGCGCTACTTTTAGTCTTTTTGCTTTGTGAGTGTTCAAGTTTTTAATTTGCTTTTTAGGAGAATGTTTCTTTAGTGCATCAATATCAGCACAGTCATTCATGGCCTGATTTTTAGTTGGTATATGTATTCTTGCCAAATTTACGTTTGTGTCCAGTTTCATGGCAAAAATAGGACTCAATCTCTTCTCCATAACGGCAGTTTTGGTGCTTGTTATTTGTTTCTCCACAGTAAAAACATCCGGTGTAGCAAGGGGGAATAATCAGCGTGCGCATAGCTCATTCTAGGAGGTTGCAGTTGCGGTCCTTTAGACATGTTTAAGGCAGTTTTGCTGACGCGGTTCTGCATTGCCATGGAGAAAGAATCCGGGGCAGATGGAAAGGGATGGCGAGTGGCGTAGGTGGAGGATACAGTACATGCGAATTATACCAAACAGAATTAGTCTTATGCACAGTATTTTAAAAAAAAATATCCTATTAGGCCTCACAGTAACGACGTCATTGTTTATCCACTGAATCATGGCTGTACGCAGCGGGGGATAGGGTACGTGGCCACCCCACATATACCAAAAAACACAAAGAAAATGCAATAAATTATCAATAATTCATTGCATTTTCCCCCCGTTCCCCAACAGGAACAATTTCTCTGTAGGGCCATGCATTATGGTTTAAGGCGTGCAATGGCCACACAGAGAATCTTTAATTCATTTTCTGGTCCCAAATAACATGATCTTACACTTTTTTTAAATAAATATTTGTGTGATGATTTTACACTTCTTAATATTCAACATTAAGTCATCTCTTTCAAGGTGGTCAACTATTTTTTTAAACTCACATTTAAGCGTATTCTTAACAAGGGCATTTTCTTTGCCTTGGCAAAATACTGCCGCATCAGCATCGTATAAACAGATTTTAGTATTTTCACAATAGGGCAAATTACAGAGGTCATTTATAAAAATGCACCGGAGATAAGACCCCTATCTTCCCCCTCAGTATTAAAGAAATCTTTCACATCACCCACCGCCGTTCCTGTTGAGTGAAGCGGTCGGAAGCCCGATTGCCTCTCACTGAGAAGACAATTATCATTGAGATTATCCTACAATAACAGAGTACTGCCTTTTCTAAAATCTAGAATGAAGGTAAAACCATTGCAAAAGAGAGATCTTTGTGTGTGGATACTCCCCGATTGAACCCGGGTCGCTTGAATGGGAGGCAAGTGCCCAATTAACAACATATCTCCGTTATATTTCCCTTACACGCAAAGCTGAAAACGAGCTTGGCAAAGTCGTAATTTCAACTTTGAGTTAAAAATCTCGACGTGATCCCGACATCTGATAGAAACAGAAAATATTTTACCTATAGCCCATATTCGTAGCTATAATATACCAACATGTGGGAGCGAATAAAGCAAAAACAAGCGAGATACTGCTCAAAGAACAATGCACGTAGATTCATGATGTGAACGAAATTCACCTTCCATAGGCGTGACACGCAAATTAAGAAAATTCTGACATGTCCCCTTTAATCGAATTTGTTTTTTTGATGACGTCATCGAAATCAAAATTGTGTAGTTGATCTTGTAGAAAATTGTCTAAGCTAAAACAACCAACTACAATCATCTATGAGTGAGATATTAGGGACTTTTCGATTTGCGTGGACGTGGACGTGGACGTGTGATTTCCTTTTAAGGCACTGGCAGTCAAGTGTGACGTCCTTTTAAGGCACTGACAGTGTCACACGTTGCAATCCAAGTTCGCGTCGTGCAAATCGAAAAGCCCCTACTGTCAAATGAAAAGGGTATAACAATTAGGACGACATTTTTTCAAAATCATTTCTTTTAGATCATTATGCAAAATAATTGACCCCCCAATTGTCTTCATAATTCTATTTTAACTTATAGGCTTTCAAAAAGAAACAAAATTGGGGCGTCTCCAGCCTTTCTGACGAGCTATGGCGGATTCGAGATAGGAATGTTTTACCCCTTTTTATTTTACATTGCCTTTGACGTGCGCACACATTTGAAAGTTTGACGCGCGCGTGTAGCATTATTGAAGGTCAAGAATGACTGTAAATAGTTGGAAATTGCCAAGAATCATTAGTGTCAGAAAGACAAACCATGCAACAAAAAACGGCGTTTCTATGTTCTGTACGTGCTGCACGCGCGCATAATATGCGTATTGGCGCTTACGCGCAGACAATTAAACAAAAAACCACTTGAAATATTTTGAAACATAATCTTATTTGATAAAAAAAAAAAAAAAAGGATTTTTAGCATTTTAAATTTTGACGCGCGCGGATTTTGTTGTTCAGAAACGATGTATGAATGAAATATGGCCTATATTAGAAATTCACAAAATGGCGCCAAGATGACGTCACACATCAGTAATAACACAACAATCTCCTAGTAACCATGCATATACCACATGACATGAGAGTATTCATAACTTGCTTACTATTTGTCCTTGGATTGCCCTTTAAAAGAGAGAAACAGCGTCCCTCCCTTCGGCATTGTGCCCACTTGTACGCTTTTATTGCGTAATCGTCCCATTGTCCACATGCATGGAGCTCGCACAAACACTCTGCTCTCACCGTCAGCATAGATATCGACTGCCGTGTCATTGTATTTGTCAGCAGTCGACAGGTAAGGATCGAAACCACACCTTCCGAGTTAGAACCAGGTCAAAGTCACAGAATTCAAGGCCACCATGACCATCGAGCTGTACGTTGATCTGAGATCCCAGCCATGCCGTGCTGTGGTCATCTTTCTCAAGCTGACGGGTATTCCACATGAGCTTAAATACATCGACATCTTTGCGGGTATGCTTTTTCGTTGTGATTGGTTTATTATGAATGAGTGGCTACGAATACTACGGAACCCCGAAAGGGACATGAACAAATTATCAAAAGAATGTATACTTCACGTCCCGGAAGGAACATAAACAAAAAGGGAGATTTGATTTTTTTTCTCTAATTTTATAGTTTTTTTTAATTCAATTTTTTTTCTCGAATTTAATTTTTTTTCCTTTAAATTTTAAAGTTTAATTTTTTTGCGAATTTTTAAAGGTGTTTTTTCTAATTTTATTGTGAAATTAAGATATTGTTAATCATATATATTGATTTGTTTTCTATTTCTTGTATTTTGTATGGTACAATTAACATAACAAGTTGTATAATTTGATTGAGAATCAATAGTGATGTCTTCGCCTTATCCATTGAGTAAATAACCACACAAATGGACAGTCATGTATTAACTCTTGTTAGATATATCAACCTCAATTGAGGTTGATTACGCAGATCATGAGTAAAGCTGATTAAATACCATCTAGATAAAGGAAAAATCGTAGGGAAAATGGTCCCATTAATCCCTCAACATGTTAGTATACTTCAGTAAATAGCCCTCTTTCAAGTAGATACTTGAAAATGTAAATCCAATAGTCCAAACTATTTTTTCCTCAAGAAACTCCACCAACTTTCTATTCTCTGATTGGCAGTACTAGCACCTGCCAGATACACTCTTTCAGTCTGCATGCTGCGAAGCACTTCTTGAAGCACCTGAATGTAACGATAGTCTACACGGACAAGAAATGGGCGTCCTTCGCTCTCCTTCAAAGCTTCCCGAAAGTATCATGCAATAATTGGAGGATATACATTAGGCCATATTATTTTACGTTTTACAAATCCATTGTTACAACCGCTGATGCACAGTCCACATGGTTGCAATTTGTCATAGCCGTCTATGTGCCAAATAAAGTTGGGTCCTTAGGCATAATATGCATGTTTTCTTTGGCGTCTGCCTTTCCTCATTTAAACTCCTTCAGGATCAAGTTCTTCAAAAATTAATCTAAGCGAGTCTAGGGGCCGTTCCTAGAAACCGTCATAACTCTAACTTCTTGACTATCCCATTGAAAATGAATTTGAAGACCTGAAGTAGATTGCAAAAATGTCTGCGTTTCAGATTTAAACGCTTCAACGTTTTAGATGCCTTTGGCTTATCACGTTAATTCTACCTTTTTTGGGAGATCCCCCCCCCCTGACGCTCAAGGAGGGTTGGGGTTGGGGGTGCAATTTGTTTAATTTTTCGAAGACTAAACAAAAGCGTCACTATACCCAAGCAGCATGTAATCACGGACCCAACACAAACCCTTTATATACCATTTTAATGTATATGGTGCCTCATAAAATACAAACAATTTGTATATGGTGATTGTATATGATGATTGTTTTAACTGACTGCTAAGAAAGCATGTATATGCTTATAGGTAAACAACCAGGGGAGCGTGTACCAATACCATTGTTGAAGGTTGATGAAATTACTGCGTATTGTTTTTATGAAATGTTACTTATTATATTCCTTCTACTGTACTAACCCTCTAACATGCAAACAATCCTCACAATTTTTCAAACCACAACGATATTTTTGCTTTCTTTGTAGGCGTCACTGTTCAACACCCTCTAACAGTAAATTCTCCCAACAAATTTTTGAATTTTCCCAACCTTTTTCCCATGAAAACAAGACGTAAAACAGACTTTTACAAAATCTGTCAACACTTACATGTTTGGAATGGTATATTCATATTCATAGCCAATTCATTCCTTTGTGACGATTTACATTCAACTCAAATTAAATTAAATAATAATAATAAAGTTGAGAGATCAGATCAGTTTTTCCAGATTGTAATCATTAATTATGGTCTGTTTTCACTTAAACTTTCATATTATCTGAATTGTATATCTAGCATTGCAGTCACTACCCTAGCAAAATTTCGTCTCATTTGAACAATGTTACCAAGTCTCCGAAGGACTAAATAATGAGAGTCAATGCCTTCCATAAGGGCACGTGCGTATTTACTGGGTTTTGAAGTTTCAACCCGGGACCCTCTTGTTTACGAGACCACTACCCCATCACTTTTATACAAATAATTATATTTCAATATTCGAAATACAAATTGCATACATTGCTTATTGACAGGTAGGACAAACATTGTGGCCCACCCTACCTAACAACACGTTACATACTGTATGTATATTTAGCGTTCTTACTATGAAAATGCAATTATTTCATTACATGTAAACAATATATTTGTATTTAATAGGCACTTCACAAAGACACATGCATTATATTTAGTTACATTAGAAAATGATCTATTGAATTAACTTATTTTACCTTGTATAAATTTGAACACCAATGCAATTCCAATGTCTCATCAAATTTTATGTAGAAGAAGTTACAGAGCATTAATACTTGCCCAGCATATGATAGTTCATAGAGTTAAGCTTGTAATGATTTTTCTTAAACCACTTCTTGTCTTTCCACCAGTTGATGAAAACAGAAGTCTACATCTATATTTAACCCAAAATAAACAAATACATGTCTATGACATCGATTAGGAAGCCATGACACCTCTCCTATTCTCCTGTTTTCAGACCTGGGCCCTGTCTTGTAAAGAGTTGCGATTGATCCAAATCAATCGCAAGTCCTCTAATCAGTCGCAAGTTTGCAATTCCTTATCTCTTATGTACATACAGTAGTTGCATTGATGTCAATTGCAAATAAGTTGCGATTAATTGAATTGAATTGAATTGAAATGAATTCGCATTTACATGTATTTCATTCTCGATTAAAAATTACATTGATACAAAAGATACAAAATTATTCATGAACAAATTTAGAAATGAAATGGGGAACTACATAAATAAAGCCCTTAGGCCTTGTACACGCATAGTTCCCAAAGCATTCATAACAAGCAAAGATTTCAAAAAAGAAGAAAAAAAAAACGAACAATTAAATAAAAAGAAACAAAAAACAAAAAACATATAACACAAATATAAACATAAAATAAGTAACTATACATATTTAAGATAAAGAAACTGCTTCAACTTTTTTTGAAGGAATTAATTTACTTGCAATCTGAAATATGTTTAGGAATGGAGTTCCAAATTACAGGGAAATTATGACGTACTGATTGTATTACCTTATTTGTTTTTACTGGCCATAAGTGAAAAGAATCTTTAAAACGGGTATTGTGGTTAATAATTAAAAACTCTTAATAAAACGGGGCACCGGTGTTTATTACATTTGTCATTCTTCTCATGCGGTGATTGTTTAACTATTATTCAATGTCATCAAATTAAATATTTAGTTCACCCGTAACGAATAATTTTAATGCGAATTGAATACAATCGTTGCTAGGTATTACAAATATTATGGCTTGTCCTACCTCACAACAAAGAATGTATGTTATTTGCATTCTTACAATTGAAATACAATTATTCGTAACAGGTGAAATAATTTATAACGAGCCACCTAATTAACAAAGATTGGAGGTGCTTTAAACTATGTAATTTCATTACGAAAATGACTTATTAATTGCAAACAAATATGGTTTCATTGGCCTACCAGGTATCGTGCAATATGCCAACGAAAAAATGACCGATTACTAAATGCAAACAAACATAGTTCCATCTGCGTACATGGTATCGTGCAAAATGCCAACTCATCGTGTCAACAATTAAATGCGTTAGCAACGACCCCCTTCCCCTACAGTAGTCCGCATACAATTGAATCAAAGATTTAGGTGGTCGATGTGTACAGGATCAATATTGTTATGCAATAAGTATACGAAAGGAATTGAAAAGGAAATTGCTTAGTCATGCAAGTGTGGCAGTTTCGAGCTACATGAATCATAGAAAGTTCAAAAGGCATATACATGATGATACATTATGAACACTTATACTCCAAAAAACATTCCTTGTTATATTTTCATTTTCTCGAAAAGGTAGGCCTATATCATTGAAAATAATGTTTATGTTTTTCAACTTAACCAAAATCTAATAAACTAAGGGCTCCGATTTTTTTTGCGAAGAAAACAAAAATTAGGAAACTAAAAGAAAAAGCCCGTGCATAAATCTTCCAGATGAGTTTTGTTTCTCTAACGGGGGAATAACAGTGTTATAGCACAACCCTCAGTGTTAATCGATGTTGATGAAGATGTGTACTTATGGGCATATTGGGACTCAAGTTTGTTTTCTCCTATTTATTTTGCTCAGCACCCCTTTCCTTCCTGATGTTTGCTGATCACTTACATGCCCAAGTCACACCGCCAACACAGTCCGGACTAACCGGATTTTCTCTGGTTTCGGTCTGTTGGATGTTACCAAGGTGGATTATTTTGGTCATCCCTATATTCTCTTTTCTTCTTTTCTTCTTAAACATCAATAAATAAAATCAATAACAAATTGAAGTTAAATACTCCCGGGAATATCTATGAGACGGTAAACTGTACACATGTGCTTTCCTCCTATTTTTCAGGGCCGGTCCCATGTCAAGAATCTGAAAAGAGTTTGATTAAAATAAATTGGTCTAAGTTTAGAAAATATGTGGGTTCCGAGAAATTAATGCTTAATATTCATTCTCATACATCGACTAGCATACGTTTGACAAAGACACAATTTCGATCGTTATCATCGATTGTCATAAAATCGTTGGTTTGTGCAACCACCTAAACCTTTTTTTTCTTCATTTGACCTCCTAATCTACTTCTGCGTAGTAAGAAATATTGCTAAGTCATTCGCAATTTCAATAAAACTAAACATTATCCTTTCACCCTTCTTAGTATGAAGTTTGAAGATCATTTTGTATTTCAAACCTGTCTTAGATGGGTCAGTAAGGACATGATCGGATTCTCTGTTCAGTGTCACTTAGACCGTCTTAACAACTAACTAACCAGCAATAGAACCCACTCGTTTCGTGTAAGCTCTTTTTCAAACACTGTCACTGTTCCTAAACGCCTATTGTGATTCTTGTAAAAGTTCCTTTGCATAACATCTTTGAGACAGGGGTGGATAGATGCTCATCCTGGAATGGGGGAAGCTGGGAGTGCTGTCAGATGTTATTCATTTTATGACTAGTAAACCCAATATTCTGTCCAGACAAAGTTTGATTTTTGTTGATATTTCTGTTTGTATCATTTATCAGTGTTGTTATTATTACTATCATTATTATTAGTAGGAAAAGTAGTAGTATTTGTTGTTATTGTTGTTGTTATTATTAGTATTATTATTGTTGTTGTTATTATCGTATTATTGTTGTTCTTGGTTTTATCCTTCTTCTTATCATCATTATCATTATTTCCAGCATCGTCATTGATTTATTTTGCGTCACCTTTTTCGTTAAAGTCCGGTAGACTTTTTTTTTATTGAGACACCCTTCAGTACCTCGATGTCATGGCTCAGTTCAGAGTTGGCATGCAATAAAGGGGAAATATACTCTGCCACCCGATCGAATAAGCCTACTCTTAAATCCCCTATTGTGTCTTAAACAGTCCAACACATGATACCAATGACAAGGAGGAATATATATTTAAATGTAAATGTGTTTACTTTTATTTTAGAGCGAGCACAAGAAACCCTAATACGGGGACAAGTTCCATCTCCAAACGGTTCCAGGGCTGAATGGAATGATCATACTCTTATGGATTATAGGTCGTTAATCCCCTATTGTGCCGTTAAGAATCCATTTGGGTAACATAATTATGTCAATGCCAAGGTGTTTATTTTCATTTTTTTAGGCGAGCACAAGAAGCCAGAGTTCGCGAACAACTTCCCACTCCAAACACTTCCAGGACTGAAAGATGGCGATTTCTACCTCGGTGAAATGTAAGAATTGTTTCTTATTTGCTTTTCCCTGTCATGCATGTGTTTTTTATGTGACAAAACAAAAGTACTGTATCATGAAAATTGGAGGAATATTGCAGAATTACAAGCGCTATAGGCCTAGAATTATCATCATTTCAAATGTATTATATATATATATATATAACAATTTTAACTCTTTCACATCGCACCGGGAGTAATAGTAGAAATAAGAGAAGAGTGTTATTCCAAGTTGTAGTACTAGCAGCAGTAGTAGTAGTAGTAATAGTAGTAGTGTATGTATTAATGGTGTAGTAGTAGAAGAAGGGGAGGTAGTAGTACGAGTTATGGTAGTGGTGGTAGTAGTAGTTGTAATAGCAATAGTAGTAGTGGGAGTATTAATGACGTAGTAGTAGAAGAATTGGAGGTAGTAGTACTAGTTGTGGTCAGGCGCGTACACAGGGGGGGGGGGGGGGGTTAAACCCCCCCTTTGGTAATTTTTTGTGTGTAAACCCCCCCCTAAATTTCTCTAAAACCCCCACCCTTTTGTTGTTGTTTTTTGTTTGTTTTTTAATAAAAAAATAATAAAAAAAAAAAAAAAAAATCCCCACGGTTGACCTAAAAAAGCTGACCTTACCCCCCCCTAATAATAGAAAAGGACCGCCTGGTTTTCTGCGTATTTTAACCAACACGAAAAAAGTCAACACTGGCATTGGCTTGAATAAAACGTAAAAGGTGATATTTCGTTTTTGTCAGCGGCTGGTTCAAATTATCGAATATTTGTGGGCGCACCACAAATATTAGAAATTGTTATCTTTGTGGATATTTTAGCCGTCTCTGAACCGATTTTGATCGAACGAAGATGATGTTGTCGTTTATATTGTATGTTCTTCAAATCTGACACTCAGTTTTTCATTTTTACACAAAATAATTATTATTATGTGTGGTGCCCTCTGCAACAAAACTCAATTATCCCTTTTACGATATTGTATGACCTTTTCAGTGATATCTCCCCTAGATTTGTTTGACTACACGTTCGCAGAGTCGCTATATTCCGTTCTTTGTTTCGTATTTTGACTTTTAATTTTTTCGCAGATTTGCCACATTTCGTTCTTAGTTTCGTGTTTTGAATATTTGTTTGCATAGTCGCTGAAATTTGTTTTATACTTGTTTTTGGCTATCCTTTTCGCATGATGGCCTTTTCCATTCTATAATTGTGTTGGCTAATCTTTTCGTAGGGTGGCTATATTCCATTACCTGATCAATACGCATGCCGACAAGATTGAGGATCATTGGTACCCTAAGGACCTGAAGTCCCGTGCACGTGTGGATGAGTACATCGCCTTTCATCATACAGGCACTAGGGGCAAGTGTATGGCACTCTTCGTGGCTGAGGTATGTACATCAAAACTATGTTGTGAAATGTGTCTTTGGCAAGTCAAATGGCCAATAGTTCATTGCCGATTCGTTGTCGGGAAAGAGGTTTTTTTTCGAGCGAAAGCTCTGCATATCGACTGCTGAATTTACTTTTTCGCAATAAACATTTGTTTTTATCGAATTATTGGGCATTTGAACTTTCATAACAGTCCTCATAGTGATGTTTTTTCTACTATACCATCTTGTATTCCCTTTTATTCCACTACCCTTGTCTCCTCCCATACCTCCTCCCTCTGTCTCTCTGTCTTTCTTTCTCTTTTTATGTCTCTCTATCTTCTTTCCGGTCCCTCTTTATCTATTTGTTCCTTCCCTTTTTCCTGTGTCTCTCTCTTCTCATTCTTCATGCTGAATATACTATGCAACTCAAGGTGATCTTCTTAAACAATGCGAGACGATAATACGAACTTCTCGGTGGTATAAGTACCAAGTTCGTCTATTTATACGGCTAACTAATTTGTTTTCCTTTTCCAGCAAAATCCCTTTTTTCAATCAACGTTTAAAAGCAATTGCTTTATCATTACTTCGCCCCGCCCCCTTTGCCTTCATTTGCCATATACGATGTTAATGAATGGAGACAATGAGGGATATCTTTTTTTGTTCTTTAAAACGTTTTTAACGAAAGTGTTTTGACACACTATAGAAATACAGCATATTAACCCCCAAAACTGTATTATTCTTTCCTTGGTTTTCAGGTATTTGCTCCTGTTCCGGATCAGGACAAAATCAAGACTGAGGCAGAGAATCTCAAGCAAGGTTTGGACAAGATCGAGAAGTGTTTCCTGAAAAATAAATACTTCCTCTGTGGCAAGCAGATATCTATCGGTGATATCATGGCTGTTTGTGAGGTAATGTTAACTTATGTAAAGTATAGGCCTTTTTAGGGGTGTCGTAGTCCAGTGGAAACGTCACCAGATTATGAATCACCAAGTTTCCGGTTCGAATACCGCCGCAGCACTAACGTCCTTTGAAAAGACGAAAATATACATTTGATACTCGCTACTCTCTACTCAGGTGTAATATATGGGTACATTGTGTCTTTATTAGGGCAGTTATGCGAAAAGCCAGGTTATAAGCAGTAGTATGTAGGCGCTTTGAGCATACCATGGGATGCATATGCCCGCCATAATTATTATTATTATTATTATTATTATTATTATTATTATTATTATTATTATTATTATTATTATTATTATTATTATTCTTATTATTATTATTATTATTATTATTATTATTATTATTAATATTATTATTATTATTATTATTATCATCATCATTATTGGCGTTATCAACATCATCAACTTACCTGTCAGCAAATTTGGAACTACGTGCAATTACTAGTCGGCAAGACGGATTTCCGAATTAGATTATCGAATGTTTTCTACTCGACATTTTTTCGCAAATTATTTTGTGAAGAGCTTCTCATTGCATAAATCGAATTGTTTTAGCACATAATTCATTCAAAAAGTGATAACCAATGACTGCATCGAATATGTGTACGAGCCAAAGTTTGCCAGTTTTGGGGAGGGGGGGGGGGGCTGAAATGACCTAACCTATCAATTTTCAACCTCTAATCTGTATTATAATAATTTTGTCATGAAAAAAATACTAGATCTGAATTTGTAATTCATTGGTAGCGGTTGCCTAAATATAAGGGGATGGGTGCCTAGTGTCCGGCTGCGGTTGAAATGGTTTATTTCAAGTATTCGGCCCCCACACTCTCCCGCCCTCCTCGTACGCCTGTAATAACAGACCTGTCAGAAACCCACCTTTGGCATAGGATTCATAATCGTGTTTTTGTTTTGGTATTTGTAATTTGTCATATAACATCTTTTTCTTTTCTTCTTTTGTTTGAACTATTTTTACAGTTCGCGCAGTTCACCGTCCAAAATCGGGACATCTTTAAAGACAACCTCCAGATTAAGGGGTACATGAATAGAGTGAAGGCGTGTCTCCAGCCAGCTTTCGATGAGGTCAATGTTAAGTTATGTGATTGGAGAGATTCGCTCGCGAAGTAGACCTTCCGGAGATTGAGGTCATGACACGTTCTGCTTCTGAAAACAAATCCTCATTACGTACTGCCACCATTAAAGATTCTATGTCCCTTTTGCAGCCAACATCAAATTATGTAGAACTTTGCAGGAATTATGAATATGTCATGTATGTCCTATCTGTTTAATTTAAACATTAGTAGTTTCCTAGTATTCAAATTATGCAAGGAAACCTGTTTACCTTCTAGACTTCGCTGCCAGACACTATTGAGTGACTGACTGACATCTTTTTTTCTTTGGTAATAAAATAGCTAAAATGAGCTGTAACAGGTACATACGCACTTTGTCTACATCAATAACCTATTACTTGTAAAGGCCAAAATTAAACTGATTGAATCTTTGTGCAGCACAACACGTACAACCATTCGGTAAAAGGGTCTGAAAATCAGACTATTACTTAGATGATTGCAATCACTTAAGTCGATTCGACAACTAATGGTCCTTATTTTTCCAAAAAAACCCATTGGAATTGAACCTTTTGGCTCAGTCAGTAGAGTGTCCGCCTCACAAAAGGGAGGTCGTGGGTTCGAACCCCGGCCGCGTCATACCAAAAGACGTTAAAAGACGGGAGTTGCTGCTACCTTGTTTGGCGTTCAACAACAAGGAGTAAAGCAACGTCGATCTGGCGCTGCTTAAGGCTGCCGGGCTCACGATCAATTGGGCAAAAAGAATTTCCAATTTCGGTTTAACTTAATACAATTTGGAGTGGACTTTAAAAGATTATTATTATTCTTATTTTCATTTGTTTGGCCTGCAAATGGGACATAGAACCTTCAAGACCCGTTTCATTTTTATAAATGGCGAAGTTCCAAAGCTAAGCCCACTGTAAAGGCTCATTCAAATATGACACGGGATTTGTTAAGTGTAGAAGAATGGCAACTACGCGCAACAAAAGACTTGCGCGTATCCACTGAACTATGTGTTAAAACATGCAGAAAAGTGACGCGTAATGCACTTTACGGCATCGTATAAATAGAATAAAAATCCGCGGTTCTGTCGTTTCATATCTGAAGGGGTCAAACGGCGTATTTTTAATAAAATTGAAGTGCTATGTCTGGATTGTGATGGAAATGGTTCTATTTTGTGTTAGATCTGGGTATTTTCATATACTACTTTTGTGTATTTCCAGTAAATTTATTTTTATAATGGCATTATATTTATTCAGTCTCTTCCCATCTTCACTCAACCAATGTAATCTTAATTTCTCGGAGGTTCTTCTTTTCATTTTGTATTTCCAGTGTAAAATACATGTAAAACAAAATTAAAGTGAAATAAGTGACTTGCATTATAACAAATAATATCAATAAACAAAGTAAGTTGTTACAATTTGAAATTGGCATCATTTCGATTGCGCTATTACCTATACTCGTTCGCTCGTTCGTTCGTGTCTCCTTAGATCAAGATTAACGTACAGTTCCTAAATAAAATACAATTGAATTACCTGCACTAAAAAAGCCTGTGAAGGCAAATAGCGCAGGGGCCAATAATTCGACTTGATGGATCCTGCTGACGCATCAAATGACAGATCGTGTGCAGACATGTGTTATCCAGTAGACAATCAGACATCTCCAAATTTTACTTGAATTTCGCAGACAATCTTGAGTTTATATTGTAAATCCTTATTCTTTTAATCAATAAAGTCTATAATTGAAGGAAAAAAGTTGCATATTGCTTAATTATTATCATGTCTATTAATGTATTTCCCATGTGTTGAACGCTATTTGCCAAATAAAGCTTTGGAAGGAGAATAGCCGATTGCATCTAGCGTGCCATTTCTAGACTTGCTTGCCCCAGTGTATCCGGCTGACTAGAGTCACAATTTTACCCCGTTCAGTTTATGTCTGTTATTAGGCCTTGGATCGGGCTGAGGATTTTTTGTTTTGTTCCCTCTCCATCTAAAGAAAGGCATAGGCTTTTGTATTATTTGTATTAAATATCAGCCAACATTTTTGGTTGAAGTATAAGGTAGGCAAGCATGGAGAATTTTGACAGCTAGAGACTCGGTGAGAAAGTAAACAAAAGGGAAAGGGAGTGGGGTATTGGGGAGCGAGAGAGACTTAGAATGGAGAACTTGTGATTTTTCAAGACAGCAAGAGAGAGAGAGAGAGAGAGATTGAGAAAAATGAGAAATGGACAGCGAGAGAGTGATGAATATCGAATGGGAAATAATAGAGAGAGAGAGAGAGAGAGAGAGTGAGACAGAGAGAAGTGGCGTGAGGATATAAATTTGAAATGCACGTACAATATAACGAAAGCATATAATGAGTCTCTATACGACTCTTGCTTATAATACAGTGCGTCCCAGAAAAAAACGAAACCGAGAATTATCGATGTTTTATCATAACTTAGTCACATTTATAATTAATAAATGACACATATTTGTAAAGCTTAGATCCTCAATCAATTTAAAGAGAGGAAACTAAAAAGTAATTTGGCGGACGGTATCTGAATTTCAAAGAGAAATCACATTTCTAGAAAGTTGAGGTTCTGCCGATTCATATGACACCTCAATTAGGAAAAAATGAGCAAGGAATGACAAAGTTCTGTTTGTTTAAAGTAGTGCTTGCATTTCCATGATTTTATCAAACAAATTCGTTTTCACTGGGTGCCTGCCATAGCAACATGCAGCATTGAAAACAGACTTAACTCCGTTTCGTTGAAAATCATCCATGCATGAAGTCTTTCGTCTACGGCTGATTGTCAACGAAATGGAGTTAAGCCTTTTGTCAACTATGGCGTTACGGCGTTAAACTGCGGTTTACGGCGTTAAACTACGTTGTTACGGCGTTAATCTACGTCGTTACGACAAAGTGACAAACTATATGATTATAAAGATTCAATTTCCTTTGTATCAGTTTCTAGTTAAACATCAACGAGTCAACACGAATACTTTCGATATGGCCAACCGTTAAGCTTGTTCACTATGTGATAGGAACTATAGTCGCAAGTTCGACACGAAGAGGTACGAAATGTACATCCTGATATGACAGATCATGAATACTAGACTGAAGTTTCCAAAGCTGGTGAAGAAGCTAGTGAAGATGCTTTCTCCGAACCACCCTCTAAAAAGCAAAGAGTTGTAGAATCTAGCGATTGTTCGAGCCTTATTTGTAATCGTTCAAGCTGGCATCGTTTCAAGGCATCTTCATAATTATTATAACTTTTCCCTAAAATGATTTTACAAACCCTTTTCTGAATTCTTTCTAAATTATGTATGTGCTCTAAGTTAAGACCTCCATTAAGAACAGGTGCACAATACTCTAAAACAGGACGAATGTATCCAACATATATTTGAACTAAGTCAGGAATTGGTAATTTATATTGCTTAACCATTCTAAACATGTATAGTTTTCTATTGCACTTTTTTAAAACTTCATTTATGTGAGTGTCCCATTTCAAATTTCGCTGGATGTAGACTAGTAGTAAACAGTAGTAAAACCATAATTTGTATAGATTTTACATATGACAATTGTGAATCACCAATACTAAAGGTCTCAGGGATAAATGGATTTTTCATAAATGCAATTCTCATTCCAGTACATTTTTAGGGTTAGGTTTCATGTGATTACTTTCTGTCCATTCTAATAAATTATCTAATACATGTTGTAATATTGATTGTTTCTGTAAAGTTGGACCTTCAAGTAGAGTGAGATCATCAACATGTTTAAATTATAACAACGATTGATCTTGGCAAGCATCATTAAACATAATTAGAAATAAAATTGGGCCTAACTTCGTACCTTGAGGAACCCCGGCATGGGTGGTTACATATTCAGAAAAAAAACATTTTGATATTTTACACACTAAGAACGTTGTTCTAAAAAACTTATTATCCAATTAATAATATATGGTCTGACATTGAGATTAATCAATTTCCTAATCAAAATATTGTGATCCAATCGGTCAAATGCTTTTGAAAAATCAGTACAAATAAAAGTTGACATAGATTTTGGTCTCTCACAATTTTCGAAAATGGTATGCAATAGTCTAATAAGATAGTGAGATGTTGATAAACCAGGTCTATTGCCATATTAGTGAGGGTCAATGTACTTAGATATGTCTTCTAAAAGCCACTTGGCTATAAAAGATTCTACCATTTTTGAGAGACGACAGTATTGGAAACGCCCCAATTTCAAAAAATGAAATGGAAGCTGTCATTACCAATCATGTGAAAGAATATGTTTTGACTAATACATGATGATAAAAAATTTGCCGGGAAACCGCCTACTAATTCATATATTTGGTAAATTTGTTTCTCTCATGGTCTGTGAGAGATATAGGGTAGTCCCATATACATCTTTCTGTGTATAGTGCTTGTAACTTTACGAAGAATGGGCCAAATTTCTTATCATTTTGATGATTCCAGAACCTTGCAGATGCTAGATGCTAGATGATCAACCTTTTCTGATCGATTCCACAACGTTTCTTTCACAAGGAAATCGCATGACCATAACTGGTCTTTACCTTTAACGCCCTGGGGCGTAGTTGTTCAATAGACCATTTTCGTAATGTAACCAAATTTGATGCATAAGTCTTTGTAAAGTGCCTCAATTCAAATTATTTTATTCACCTGACAAGAATAATAGTATTTCAACAGACAGAATCCGAACTGCATACATTAGTTGTTGCCAGGTTGGACAAACATTATGGCTTGACCTACCTAGCAACACTTAATATATGTAGTTGCATTCTGACTATATAAATATTATTATTCTTGTCAGGTGAATAAAATAATTTGAATTGAGGCACTTTACAAAGACGAATGCATTAAATTTGGTTACATTACGAAATTGTTGGTGGTTGAGACTTTGGAATTGGAACGATTTGACTTCTTTTCCACTGCCATGGTACTATGCCCTGATGAAAAAGATGCATTTAAGATATCTGCTACAGGTTGACTTAATTCTTATGCAAATTCACGAATAGTACGAGGTGGAAGATCTTCTTTCAATCCTGCTTTGTTACTTTTAATCTTTGTAAGCATGTTGTAAACCTCATATTGCTGGACCTCTGGGCATATTGATTGTGAAGGTAAGAATGCAGGTAATCTGCTCTTGTCCAGGGGTCGGAGATCTTTTGTAATTGATATAAACAGCTTGTTAATAGCACTTCGTAGAATTCGTAGACAAC